AAGTATGTGTTCGAAAAATTGAACTAAAAACTATTTTTTTTTATTTTTTAATAAACAGTTTTCCGAACATATGCTTTCTGATATCCGATCAACTTGATTTTTTACAGGTATGATATACTGAATAAATCATAAAATATGAACGGTTCGGATTATTAAAATTGAGCCTAAAAGTAGACCCGAAAGCCTACAAGGACAAGCGCAAGTACGAGACTGCAAGGAGAGGACCTTGACTCCACTATCGCAGGCTTGATCTTAGGTAGCTTTGGCCAGCCATATCGCTATCACCTAGCTTCGGACCTCATCTAGGGGTCCTCTATAACTACTAAGGCCTTATCTTGGTTAGCATCCATTTTGACTAACCCATCACCACTCTTGTCTCCCTCTCCCAGAGCATGTTGCATTATGTAACTGTATTTGTTGATGAGAAATTTTGCATCTTCTACCAGGCTCTTCATCGAGGAAGTTATCACAAATTTCACTTTCGGCAATTCAATAGCTTCGGTCGTCACGCCCCAGCTTCGTGACAGAACCGCACACTTATATAAGTGAGCATGCAAGGCTAAGAATTCAATCACATAACCTACAATGTAAAATACTCAAATTAAATCCTTAATTGTCATAATGTCAAAATCCATAAAAATAAATAGTTCTTATATGAAAATGTCCATCAAGTCCACTAATTTAATCTACTAACAACAATAATCCAAGTACTCAAATCATAGTCCTACTCTCGGCACTCCCGCATGTAAAAAAATCCCGCGCAGCTCTACTCTTCAGGATCTGAAAAAAAATAAATAAGAGTAAGCCAGATAGCCTAGTAAATAACCAACCATCACTGCTAGCTGGATCAAGTATACAAAAATAAATAAATAAATCGATAACCAATAAATATAATATTTTCTACAGTTCAATAAATGAACAATTATTTGTAAGATGGTTTCATAGTTAAAAATAAACAATGCACAATACATTTTAAATGAAAAGCCAACAAGATAATTCAAAGTAATTCGTTGTTCAAATCGATGGTTCGATATTCAGATGGTTCAATGATTTGATTCACAAAATCTAAGTCTTAATGATTACGGTCACTTAGCCCTGACAAGGCCCAGAACCACACATAGGCCGGTGGTAAAGCCCCAAAAGAAACTAGTTTCTGTGCCAATAAATAACTCCTATTGGCTAGGGTCCAAATCATAGTTAGACTAGAGTGATGTTCAAAATTCAAACAATACACAACTTTTAAATAAAACTATTTGATATTTTCGGAATAAACATTTGGTATAATTTTCAGAATAGTTTCACAAAATATTCAAATAACTTTCATAATAATATTCGATGTTGTTTTATACTTGACCCATATTTTATTTTAAGAGAACATGAAGGCTATAAAATAAATATTTATAATTTTAAACGATTCAGTAGGAATAAAAATAAACCAATAGTGATAGAGGGTTACTTACCTTCAAACAGCTAAAATAATATTTTTCAAGCTAATATCAAATTACCAAGATCCACCTCAATCTCACAAACCTAATAAAATATTACACCGCATAAACAATTATTATGTGCACTCATCCATCTCTTCTTGTAACAACAATAGAATAAATTAACCCAATAGTCTATTAGGAACTCCCACGATTTAGCATCAAAACAAAGCCATCACGGTTTCAAAAATTCTCAACCCATATTATTCTATTGTTGTTTATATACATGTAAAAATTTGTAATTGCTTGTAGTCAATCGTGTATCTTACAAACACACCACCATTAAACTTAACCCATCACATATCAATCTCAAAATATGAACCACCCAAACAGAATGTAAAATACACTCTAAAATTGAGCAAAATCGAGACCCCCAACATAGACTACATCAATATATTTATTTAATCATATATGTCCATAAAATCATCTATTAATATATTAACACCAAAATCATAGATAAAAATACAATAAAATAAATCTTACCTAAGTGATGAATAAAGTAAAACCACGACTCTTATGAATCCTCCCTCTTTTTTTTTTCTTTTTCTTTTTTTTTTTTACTCTTCAAACCGTTGAGCAGCAGTAGCCTCAAAATACCCAGCAGCACTTTCACAAGGCTCCCATTTCTTTTCTTTTTTCTTTCTTTTTTTAAAAGGGTTAAAAACCTAATTCTTAAGATTACTAAATTACCCATACAATTTATTTTAATTATTAATCTATCCAAAATAATTCTATAAATAACTTGGGTTTTACATCGGTGGAGTTGGTCCTAATGATGAGGTCTTTGTATCTCTTCTCAAAAACAATCGTTAAGTCTCTATAAATTGCTCATAGTTCTACTTCGAGATTTATACACATGTCCAGGCTTGCTGAAGAATCCACAAAGCCAAATACTCTTCTTGTCTCGGATTAAGTCACCAAACCCGCCTTGATTGCATTTTATACAAGATAAAAGTAATCAATTTTTTCAATTGACAACACACAAATAAATAAAAATAAATAAATAGCATATATTGATTGCATGAATCACTTCCTCTCACAATATTAGCAAGCGCCGCACTAGGCATGGATAAAATTATAGGGGTGCAATTTGGGTGGATTTAGACCGTTAGGCTTATTCCGAGTTGTTGGATTTTTATTTGGTATAAGATTTGATTAGAGAGTGTTGTGTTGACCCAAGAAATCTATCATAGGCTTTTACATTAATTATTTAAATTATTTATTTTGTAGTAGCCTTTGTGTATATCACTTAAAAAAAAATAAAAACAAAAAAATCAATCCACTAATGGTAACATATATTTATTGTAGTTATGACTAAAAAAATAAATGATAGTTGTATTTTTAAATATGAATCATCTATTATTTTTGGTGACAAGTATTATATATTGAACATGCTATAATTATTAGATTAATTTTTTTTTTAATGAATGATATATACAAAACATCTCATAAAATGAAGAGTTTAAATAATCAAAACCGGCCCTTCGTGGGTCCCACAACTGCTTTGACAATAGTGGTATGTTTTTTTTTTTTTTTTATAGATAATGTTAGGGATATTAATGAAGTGTTTGGTAGAATTTTCTAAATATGATTTGATAATAGAGTTGTATTTGAGTTTGTAAATTTTGGAATTATGATTTTAGTGTGGAAAATTTATTTGGTGAATGAGTTTTGAAAAGAGTTTTGAATTGAGAGGAGAATTTTTAATGTGACATATGATATTTGATATAAAAACTTACAACTTATAACCAAACACATAACTCAAAATTCTATTAAAAACTCATAATTTTTTTTTTAAAATTTCGATTTTTTTATTTAAAATATAAAAAATACCAGGTGTTAATTGTAAAAAAAAAAAAAAAGTACTGTTCTAGTCAACCGGCCAAAAGTTCGGAAAAATGACCGGTTAGCCCAAATTTTTCGGCCTTGGAAAGAATTTTCAAAAGTGAATGTAACATTAATTTTTAAAAACTGTAAACAAACAACACATTCCAAATAAGGGGTAGAAATGTGTTTGGAGAGGTTCTCCAAACACCGCCTAAGTTTTTTATCAAACAAATAAACAAAGGTCTCTTATGAGTATGAAGTTCACAATGAGACATTTGATTATTTACCAAATTTATGGAACACATTTGATAATTTATTTGGTAAAAATTTAGAACTTATGGCCTTGTTTAGCTTGTATTTTTCAAAAATTTTTAGAAAAAATTCTCTACAAATAAGTTTTCAAAAGTAATCAAATCAAACAAATTTTCTCAAAATTTTTTTCCAAAACTTGTTTGGTTTACAAGTTTTCCAAACAAATCTCTCTCTCATACACATCAAATCAATCACTTTTTTCAAAACCCTCTCTCAAAATAATTTTCCAAAACATCTTTAAAAAAAAACCAAACCAAACAACTTTTCATACTTTTTATCTCTAAAATTCATCTCCCAAACTCAAACCAAACATTATTTTTTTTTGCTAACAACACACTACTAGAACACTCTTTTCACAACCTACAGCACCCATCAGAATTCAGCCCTCCACGCCCCTTGAAAAACGCTCCTCACCAAAATTCCATGGCGGAGGAGGACGACGTCCCTGATCAGAACCCTAGGTTCTTCGTGGCGGTGCACGTCGGCGCGGGATTTCACGCGCCGTCGAACGAGAAAGCTCTCAGGTCCGCCATGAAACGTGCCTGCCTCGCTGCTGCTTCTGTTCTTCGCAAGGTATTTCCTTCGGATCTCCTCTCTTCCCCTCCTTTCCCTCCGTTTGGTTACCGTGAATCTTGAGGAAAATAAAGGAAAAGGAAATTTAAACTAGAATATCTTGAATCTATGTCTTATGTCGTTTTGTTTGAATTCTGAATATTTTCTAACTATTTTCAGTTGAAAAGGGAGTGTTTGGTTTACTGGAATTGAGTATGATCATTTCATCACAATGTCCATTCTAACATATGGTTTGCTAAAAAATGAGGGAAAATGAGGGAAAATGCATTATAAATAGAATCATCATTCACCATTGTAGGTGGGAATGGTCATTTCATACAGATTATATAGATTGATATTCCATTTTATTCTACTAGGTATTTGCATAATGATGGGGGGCCTGCTCTCAGACGTGTGTTAGCTTGTGAGAGAGAGAGAGAGAGAGAGAGAGAGAGAGGTTCTTCATGTTTGGATGGCCCTTTTAAAGTTTATTAGTAGGGATTACCATTATTATTCTTCTTCTTCTTTTTTTTTTTTTTTATTATTATTCTTCTTTTTTTTTTTTTTTCAAGTTGTATGCCATTTTCTGCGCGTCCTAGATGTATCATAGAAGTAGAGCCCTTGTTATTCTGGAGCATGAACACTGAATATGACTGAATTTGTTTTGGATATTATGGTGGGATGTTATAATTTGATCTATGCTTTGGAAAACACAAGACAATGCAGGCTTGGACGAGGATGGTGTGAGAATATTAGGTTTTATGTATATATGGTAGTATATATATTTTGTATATATTAGGGATCTAGTACATATTTTTGTTTCCTTTTTCAGTTTTAGGGTTAGATTGTTATATAAACCGATGTATTCTTGTATTAAAAACACAATTGAATATACAAAATATATATACTACCTAGGGGGTTGTTTGGGATAAACTAAATAAGTGTACTTTTTGATTTTTTTATAAAATATGGATTGAGTATGGGTAGGGTTTGAAATGATGTGGTAGAGAGATGATGTGACTTAAATAAGATGATGCGATTTAAATAGGATAGTGACTTTTTGACTTTTTAGCTTTTTTAGGTTATGCCAAACCAAGTCCTAATATTCTCATAGATGGTGACCATTGTTGAACATGAAAAATCTTTTGAACATTAACAGTCTTGAATGTGGAAAATTAAAGATCATGTGCTGTTGGAATCCAAGGATAATGGAGAAGACTAAGAGAAACAATAGCTCAACAACGTGGTTTGGCAGTAGGCCTAGATTCACGGTCAAACTGGCAGAATGATGATTTAGGGTAAATCTTGAATCACAACATAGAAAACCATTTTCTTGGTAACCTGGTGAAACCCACTGATATTTCTCTCACTTGTAATGTGGACTGCCTTCACTTCTGTCATTGCATCTCTTACCAATTCATGATGGCATTGTTAAAAAATGTCTCCAATTTGCAAGCCATAGGAGTTCTTTTTAAGTCAGTTAGAAAGACAAGCCATGAAGTTTTTAGAAGGGACTCCTGAAAACACCTTATCATAGAAAAGGCCAAGTTGTTTTGGTTCTTCCTTGTTACCTCTTTCCATGCGTTGTTTACTTGATAACCCTCCAAGGTGGCCTTAACAGGTAAATTATTGCCTGTATGGAGAGGGAGAAGCACTGGTGGAGATGTTGCTATATCAATCCTAATACCGAATATAAAGAATATTAAAGTTAGTTGTGTGGTTGTTTTGTGATTTTGTTTTTGAACATACACCCTTTAATGCACTTGTTTGTTTGCTATGTTTTAGGGTCCTGGTGGGTGTATAGATGCTGTTTCAGCGGCAATACAAGTCTTGGAGGTATGCTGCTTGTTTCTTTGTGTGTGTGTGTGTGTGAGAGAGAGAGAGAGAGAGAGAGAGCCTGTGTATAATAGATTCTACTGTGTTTATGTTGCCACGCTGTACTTTATTTAAGGCATTAAAGATTTACTTTGTGCTGGACGTTGATTGTCTTGAGTAAGTTACAATGTTGAATCTACAGAAATTTGGAGCATGCAAATAATCGTTAGTGGTGGAAAATAGAACTTTTCATTCTAAATGAACTAGAAGGATGTCATGCACTATGGGCATGAACTTATCTCATTGTATGATTTTTAAAATTTATTTTAATGAATTATTGTAACTGTCTTCATTGATTTATATTTTTATCCTCAACTCATTTGGAAAAAAAAAAAAAAAAATTCTTAAACAAATGAATTAATCAATTTCCTTTGTCCTTTTTTGGAAATAAAAAAATATAACATGTCTTTGGAAGTAGGCTTTACTGGATGTTGCTTTAATATAACAATATAGATTAGAATGAGGGTTAAAAGGATTTTCTTGGATGCTACTCAGCAATTTTCATATTGCTAGATTTGCTTTACCATGTAGGCGTAGGTTCACTAAAAGAAAATTTTTAAAATCACTCATATTTTGAAGCTAGAAAAAATTATGGATTCTGATAAACCTTTAAACTTAAGAGACTTCGAAAAACAAAAGCTACTCTTTATTTATTTTCAAAGCGACTTTTAATTTGAAAAAAAATAAATTAGTTTCTCTTCATCAGTCAGAACCCCGGCTATGCCTCATAATTACATTGTGCTTGGCAGTGGTTCATCTGGAATGATCCTTATTGTTTTTTTACTTCAAGAACAATCCACCCTTAGAAAACAATGTGCCTGTTTGGCAGAACTTAAAAGCAACTTATTTTAGCTTTCAGCTTAATTTAAGCTATTTTGATGTGTTTGGTTTAGCTTATAGCTTATAGCTTATAACTTTTTGGAAGTCAGAAATCAGCTTATTCTTTGAGTGGGGCAGGAGATGCTTTAAGAATAAGTCAGAAATCAGCTTATGTTCATAGTTATAAGCTATAAGCTGTTTAGGCATAAGCTATAAGCACTTTCCCACAGCTCTACCAAACAGGGCCAATAAAAGGAAAGCACAACTTACAACAAAAATTGACTTGATTTTCCTGTCTTGGCTATTTGTTTTCCACGATCTTTTGTCTAAGTCCAAATCAATAGAGGATGATATGTTGCTGTAGGGTTTGTTTCTGAATCTCTGTTGGAATTATATGCCTCTAAGGTCCTTTTCTTTCTCGTCCTTTTCAAACTATTTTATTTAGACTTCAGAGTTGACTTATAGTGATCATTTATTGTTGCAATATCTTGTCTGCTAGACAAAAATGTTTGCCCAAGTCATCCTGAGCTTAGCATGAATCAAGATTGCTGCTTCATTAATGTTGCTGTCCCTGTTAGAATCTTTTATTGCTACTATATTGGTGACTTAATGCAGTCAACAAGTAGTTGTGTGGAGTTGATATTAAAATAGAATGACCCCTAGAGCTCACATGAAGATTGTATAATGAAGGCTCATCATAATGCCACTTTGAGTGGCAGATAACAGTTGAGCTGCCATGATCAAGATGACATACTAGAAATAAGATTTGATTTTGGAAGCAGCCTATAACTGAGACATTTCTTATTTGATGAGATGCATAGAGCCTGGGAGAGTGGGTTGGGTTTGTGGATGGGAGTTTTAAATGCTCTACTTGTGCAACAATGCAACCAATCCAATCGTTTGCATGTCAGGAAAACTAATCTGTTTTCAAGCTACAAAGCTGAAAAGTAATAGTAGTGGGTGGCGCGAAGAATTCTTTATTTTCTTTTGTATAAGATCCTTACATGCAACTTGGATTACGTGGAAAAAAAAGAGTAAGAAATTTTATGTCGTGGACTCTAAAGTCATGTCAAGAGTTAACTGAAACTCATGGATTGTTCTTTTCTTTAGTATTTTGTGAAATTTTTGGTCTTGTATATGGTAGATGGAATTACACATTTGAAACTACAAGATAGTTCAAGGACATTTTAGCTGTGCAATAATTGGTTTGGATGAACATAAGCTAGTGGTCCATGGGCTGTTTGGGCTTGTTGGATTGGTTCAAACTTAAGGGGACCAATACGATGCCCTAGGGGGATGGTTGGGCTTTGATGTTGTAGGGTTGTTGGGTGCGTTAGATATGGCTCTAGAACATTCCTCCTATCTGTTTGATGTGGAAAGAGCCATTTCATGCAGTGGAAATTTTCTGTGGTGTTTCTCTTCTTAATTCTGTCTAGCTATTGTGAATTTCATTAGTGATCAAGTTTGTTTCTTTAAAGGATGATCCAAGCACAAATGCTGGGCGTGGCTCAAATTTGACTGAAGATGGTCATGTGGAATGTGATGCCAGTATCATGGATGGTGATTCTGGGGCATTTGGGGCTGTTGGAGCGGTGCCAGGTATTCCTGAAGTATAATTAATGGAAACCATACTCTAAATAAGTAAATAAGTTTTTATGTTGTGAGCTGCAATTTCTTCTGTTCTTTGGCTTTGATAATGATATGGAGCTTTCGTTTTCATTTCATGCTCTTCATTTCTGTGAAGTTAATAATTAGCAGGTGTCCGGAATGGAATCCAAATTGCTGCTTTGTTGGCCAAGGAACAAATGTTGGGGTCAACACTGCTGGGTAGAATACCTCCCATGTATGATTACACCTGTGTTTATCTTTGAATTTTGATATACAAATTACCTCTTTCTGGCAGCATTGTCACAGTAATTATTTATTTCTTTTGCATCTCAGTTTATATTTCTTATTGTATATCATGTCCATGAGTTAGGAGTTGCGGATTTTTCATTGGAAATTATGAGTAGTGCAACATTATTTTGTTAGAGATGTTATGTAATGCATACTATGTGTGAACAGTGAATATGAATCTGCCTTCTACACATGTTCAGTGCTTGTAAAACTCAAATCAAGTGGAACCATGAAGGGTAATGGGTGAAATTAGTTACAGTGATTTGGTCTTTAATTCAAAATTTGAAAGAAATGATTTATTGAGGAGTCCATTCCAAGTTTCTAATAAATTAGTTTCTTACTTCAACATCATGCCAAATTGGTATTCCTCTTTTTCTTGGCTACACTGCTGATCCTTGGTGAGGAGTTGGTGCATCTCACTAGGGCATGCCATTTGTTGTTCTCCCTCAGATTTTTGTTTTCTTATGAGGCATTTTTTGTGTTTCCTAGCTTCTTGGTTGGTGAAGGTGCACGTATGTGGGCAACATCCAAGGGTATTCCTTTGCCGGCAAGTATACCGGAGGCTGATGAGGTAAACTCTCCTAGTTTTCTGTCGTATCTGTCTCAATTTCCATTTCCTTATATATCAATATTTTTTCTTGAATATGTTGGTTTTAAATTTCTTTAGTAATCTGTTTTTTATTTTGGAATTAGTTATCATACTTGTTGTGCATCTTTTGGAAACAGTGGCTGGTTACAGAGAGGGCAAAAAGACAGTGGGAAAAATACAAATCAATGCTTGATGATGCAAAAGCTGTGAAAGCAGAAATTGATGGAGAACCTTCTTCTAGCACTCAAGAGAATGCTGCTGTATCAGGTACTCCATGCCATTTAGATTTTAAACAGAACATTCCCATACCTCCCAAAGCTGGCAATACTTAAGTGGTGTACCATAACTGAATATGTCAATTACTTGTTTCATGATCAATATGTTTGAGAGAGAAGGATGTTCATGCTAAATATGTCAATTTCATTTTTCTTTGGTATCCACAACCATGCCATAGCTCACTTTGCCCCCCCCCCCCCCCCCCCCCAACTCTTGTCACGTATGACTTTATCCCCTTAAACTAAAATTGTAACACTTAACTTAACGCCCCTTATCTATGTTTTTTCCTTTTCAATTTGGACCTCAATTTCGAAAATACCCTTTCAACTATGAGGGTAAATAACACTTTACCCTCTTCAACTATCACTCAATATCACTCTGCCCCCCTCAACTAAAAATTTTTATACTTTGTTTGGTTTTTAAACTGAATTACAGTTTTTGAGTTTTTTGTTGTTTGTGTTTTTTTTTTTTTTTTGGTCTTTTAGTAAAACTTTTTTTCATATTTTAGTAAAAAAAATTAAAATTTTAAATGCACCTAAAATGTAAAATATTTGTAAGGAAATCTAAAGGAAGTTTACTAAAGTCAAAAAAATAAAAAATGAAAAACGAAAAAGCTGGTATGTTAATATATTTTCATCTTTAATGAACTTTTTTTAGATGCATCTAGATTAGATGTGCTTAAAAAGTGAAAAAGAAAAAGAAAAAGAAAAAAGAGAGACTAAAATATGAAAAGTTTCACTGAAGACCAAAAAAAAATATGAAAAATAAAAAGCTCAATAATAATTTTTAAATACTAAACCAAACAAATTGATTATGTCATTTTAGGCATATGATTTGAGATGTCATGTGCAACTCACATCTCAAATTTTCATTTATCTATGAAACAAATACATTGATACAAATTTGTAAATCAATATGGCAAATGTAGCATTTTTTAGTTGAAGGATAAAGTGATATTCGGTGATACTAGTTCAAGAGGGTAAAGTGTAATTTATCCATAGATAAAAGGGTATTTTCATCATAAAGGTTTAGATTGAAAAAAAATCAGTAGATGAGGGGGGTTAAGTGTTACAATATTTAGTTCAGGGTTAAAGTAATACAGGACAATAGTTGACGGGACAATAGTTGAGGGGGGTAAAGTGTAATTTACCCTTGCTGAATATGTCAATCACTTGATTCATGAAAATATGTTTTGAGAGAAAGGATGTTCATGCTAAATATGTCAATTGGTATTTTTTGGTATTCACAACTAAATATGTTACAATGATAAGTATGTCAACTACTTTATCTTCTCTCTCTCTCTCTCTCTCTCTCTCTCTCTCTTTATTTTATGGTTGGGCTGTTTTATTAAAGTTTATTTTGAATTTATGAATGTTTTTGCGTGGGTTCCACAAACAGAAGTTCTACCATGTGATCATTTGAAGACAAATGGGGATCATGGTAAATTATGTACGTTGAATGTGCCAGAAGATGACTGCATTATGGACACTGTTGGGGTTATTTGTGTTGACACTGAAGGACATATAGCATCTGGAGCTTCAAGTGGTGGCATTGCACTGAAGGTGATTATCTGCTTTGTTTTTGTGGCATTTTCTTGTTAGATATGCAAAGAGTTTCTATATTATTTGTCTCAATTCCTTAAATTGTATAATTATTTTTCTACTATTCTTATTTAATTTACCCAAGTATGGCGATGGGGGTCGAATTGGTGTTTTGTGGGAGTAGTTGACTGGTGGCCATTGACGGCTTGGTGGGGGTGTATGAAGTTGTGTGTGTGTGTGTGTGAAAGAAAGAGAGGAGAGGGATTTAGAGGCTTTGATTTTAAAAAAAAAAATTCAGTTCCTCTATGACATTTTGTCCTCCCAAGTTCCCAACAACCACGCAAAAGAAATGCTTTTCTTGGTAGTGAATGAAACCTTGAAGTGGTTATTGGGTAGCCAGTTCATTTGATGAAGTTAACCAAGTTTGTAAGGGCCTATTTGGCATCATTTTCATTTTCATTTTCAATGCTTTTTTGGCTCGTCTTTTATTTAGATTCGATGCCTCTGTTGATCACAATCCACACCTAAAAGTTGAAATTTGCATGACATCATTTCTAAAATGGATCATTATTCAGTTAAACTTGAAATTTATTCTCCAAATATTTTTAACAGATAAGTGGACGTGTGGGATTAGCAGCAATGTATGGCTCCGGTTGTTGGGCATCCTCAAAAGGTCCGTTTGGGGCTCCATTTATAGTTGGTTGTTGCGTTAGTGGTGCTGGAGAGTATTTAATGAAAGGATTTTCTGCTCGGGAGTGCTGTGTCTCATCATCACTGTATGTATCCTCGTTATTCAAAAATGTTATTTTATTTTATTTTGGGAAGTATAACTACAGAATAAAAAAAAAGACAAAAAGAAAATTGTATCTTAGAAACGTGCAATTTTTTAATTTATCTTTTACTATAAGGAACATTATATTTTCTTGGTATGAGGCTAGTTTAATACCGGGATATTTTTGTAAACGGCTTCGTGTTTTTCTGATTTTTGCCTAGTTTAGTGCTTTCTTCTATGTATTTAGTTCTCATTATTTATTTAAACCTACAAAAATCATATTCTTTGTTTCCATTTATGTATATACCCCCAGCTTGTGAATCTAACATGGTTATTATTTTTGTTGCACAGGTCGCAGGCAGGTCCGGGCTCTGCTTGCATGAAAGTTTTACGCTCTGTTATGCAAGATAGTAGCCAATATGGTACTGATAAAAGTGCCGGAACTCTAGTTGTTCAAGCCGAGGCTCCTATAACAGTGAGAGCTCCCAACCCTCAACTTTAATGGTTTTTTTGAGGAAAAAAACGGCTTATTATTTGTTTGTTTCCTATTTAGCTTCCCGGGACTTCACCTAAGCTGAAAGCTATAGAGATTGCAGCAGCCTACACTTCCCTTTCTTTTGGAATGGGTTATTTTGGAAGCTCTATGGAGCGGCCCAAGGTACTATAATCTGTTCCGAGTAATATTTCAAAGCCTTTATTGTTGCATATGAATTTTCTTCTTTAATTGATATATTTAGATCAGATTTTAAGATCACAGTGAGTTCAGTCGATCCTTGCAGATGACATTTAATAGTGGATCATCTCATTGAGAGTAAACCAATATGTTGTGTATTAAATAAGTGTGAAGTGTTCGTTAACATTTGCTATATTTAATGCTTTCTTGTTTTATAATTGAACAAATATTTTATATAAGAGCATATCATAAACTGATTGGAAGAGATTTGCATTTCGTATTTGAACTATTCATTTCGTATCAGTCATAATTTGTAATGGTGACATATAATAGTTTGTAGTTGTCCTGTTTGGTTGTTCCTTTTTTTGCCTTTTCGTGTCCATATCATGTTATATTATGTTGGTTTACATTTATCTACTTTTTTGCTGATTACATGAAATGAGACAAGCATGCCGCAATTCAAACCTAATTATGTGTTCAATTTCAAACCTTATACGAAACTCATTTGTTTTATTCATCTGTTTTTATGCAGGTCTCAATTCTTAGGACTACAAAACAGCAAAATAGGACCGACATCGACCAGTTTGCCGCACGAATTGATGTTGGTGAAAGTAAAGGATAAAATATCGTGTGCGCAAAGATTTTGATAAGAAATTTAAAATTTGGAAGTAAGTCAAACTGGTTTATTTATCTTCTTCTTTCAAGTGACTCATCATGTTTCAAATGGTTAGTAAAGCAAACCTAAAACCTGAAAGATGTTCATTTTCACTCATGTGAGAGATCAGCACAATTATTTTATGGACCATTCTTCCACAACATGATAATGGGCTTGTTTGGTGTAGAAAGTTGAAAATTTGTGAAGTCTCTTTCATTGCGCTGGGGGCCAAAACCTTAAGCCTAAGTGAGCTCGCATGGTGGACTGATACGTGGGCCAAAATAGGTTTCCTATATGGGCTCGTGGCCTGGCCTCCAGGCTTAGCCTAAGATTTGAGTCGGTTTTTAAATAATTTTTCTTCACTTTTTTTTTTTTATAATTTTTTATGGGCTGGGCTATAAGCTAGGTTTCAAATTCAACGCCCAATTTCACTTGTGCTGGCATGTCCAGGATTTGAGCTTTATTTGTGTGAAAGCCCAATGAGCTTGGGCTAGGTTGGGTTTCAAGTTCAAGGCCCAATTCTAGGCTCGGTTTAATTTGGGCTGGCCTGTGTTTGAGTAAAATTCCAATGAGCTCGGCCAGGTTGTGTTTCAAATTCATGTCCCAGTCTCACTTGGGCTGGTCAATCCAAAATTTGGGCTTTATTTAGATAAAAGCCCATTGAGCTTGGGTTGGGTTGGGTTGGGTTGGGTTGGGTTTTAATTTCAAGGCCCAATTCTAGACCTAGTCTTATTTCAGCTGACATGTCTAGGATTTGGGCTTGGTTTAGGTAAAAAGGCCAACGAGATTGGGCCGGACTGAAAGCCTCGTTTGGTAATCTTCAGTTTTAATCAAAAAGTCATTATAAATTGTCACATCGCTTTTTTTATTTTTTTGCACATTTTTTCGTAAAAAGTTAAAAAAGTTACTAAGCCTTCGTTTGGGATAGATTGATTTTTTGATTTTTTAGCTATTTTAGTCGGGGCCAAAAAGCCTCGTTTGGGATTAGTTTTTTTTGGTTTTTTTGACTTTTGTGAGAAAAAATAAAATGACTATGAGATGAATATGGCATTTTGTTGTATTTGATTAAAATAATCAATTTTGTCCTATATGGCTATTTGTCTAAAGTAGCATCCTAAACGTAACCTAAAATAGTCTGTTTTCAAACGAGATTTCAAGTGTCAAATTTAGGGCCCAATTTTAGGCCTAGTTTCACTTGGGTTGACCCATTTAGAATTTGGGCTTTGTTTCGGTAAAAGCCCAACAAGTTTGGGCCGAATGGGGTTTCAAGGACAAAAATTTGTATGTCATTCTCTTTGATCTTTGTCAAATTTTTAAAATTGGACCTTTGAGATTTATTTGATCCTCTTAAAAATAAGATTTATTTGAATGAAGTGATTTTACGAAAGAGTACTGATTATATATATATATATTTTTGAATTTTTTTTCTAGAAATATATTTGTATATGATTTTTTTTGGGTTAATTATAAAAAATAAAATAAAATAAAATTAAGGTTTCACGTGTCTTCATTTTAAATCTTGGTGTTTTAATTTTGACAAATTAAATCTTAAAATTTCATCCGTATATATATATACCATTATTGTGATTTCAAAGAAAGAGACTTTCATATTTTTTTTTTTCTTAATTATAAAAAATAAAATAAAATAAAATTAAGGTTTCACGTGTCTTCATTTTAAATCTTGGTGTTTTAATTTTGACAAATTAAATCTTAAAATTTCATCCGTATATATATATACCATTATTGTGATTTCAAAGAAAGAGACTTTGATATTTTTTTTTTCTATTTTTTTTTTTAAATTTTTAAGTAGATGCTTTTGTGATCACTTTCTGACCCACCATTATTGTGTTCACATTATACTTTCTTCTTCTCTGTTTGTCATTTTCTTTCTTTCTTTTTATTTTTTTTATTAATTACAAAAAAATCTCAAAAATTCATGCATTTTTCACTTTAAATCCCAGTGTTTTGTAATTTGGGTAAATTACATTTACCTCCCCTGAAGTTTTTGACAAATACAGGGACCTCTCATGTGGTTTGAATAATTACAGTAACCTCCCTTACTTTACCTGACAATGTCAAGATTCTCCCAAACTGTGACGGTCGTTAGAAGATCTAACAGAAAGTGCTGATGTCACTCATTATAAATTATTAAATGTCCAAAATACCCACATTGCATTCTAATTCATCCAACTTATACAGCCTCATTGCCTTCTAATTCACCTTCTACTCCTGTCATTGCCAAATACCAACCCATTCACCATTGTAGCACCTCCCACAAAATCAGAAATATACATAAAGGTATATATATGTAAGATATTTATGTATACATATATGTGTGTGTGTGTGTGTGTGTGTGAGTGTGATATATATATTGATTCAATTCTTTCTTTTTTTTATTCAATCAAATATATATATATATATATACATAGGGTTTGATTCAAATCTCTATTTTATGTTTGATATATATATATATATATAAGGTTTGATCACGTCGCGTTGGAGGGAGGAGTTCGAGAAGTCACCGTCGTCGGCAGAAAGGAAGCGGAAATCGAGCGACGGAGACTAGAAAATCGACGCGTTTAAAGATTAAATATACGATTTTGAGGGAAGGTTCGGAGGAGAATGATGATGAGGAGGAAGAGGAGGAAGAGGAGGAGGGGGAGGAGGTGAAACGGCCTAGCGCAGCGGCGGCGGCTTCAATATTGGAGGAGGAGGCGGAGACGATACCCCAAGCTGAAGCGAGCTCGAGAGGAGAGAGAGATGCTGAGAGACCCTCGACAGGGTTGCGATCGTGTGAGGCAGAGACGAAGCAGCTGCCGTGGGCGTCCCAGTCGCAGTCGTTGCAGAAGAGGAGGTTGTCGGTGGCTAACCATTTCTCTCTCTCTCTGAAAACCCTAACTGGTATGAGAGGTTCAAAACCCTAGAACTAGAATGGAAGAAATTGAAAGTACATACTAATTTTTGCACAAGCTATTGAGGAGAATAATCGCAAGTGGGCTTGGGGATCGTCGGAGGCAGTTGTATTGGTTGGAGAGATTATAAGTAGGAGAGAGGAGGTAAGATGAAAGAGAGATAGGGACAGAGCATGATGTTAGTGAGGTATGTATGAGAGATATAGGAATTAAAGGGTATTTTGGTCTTTTTGTGTTCAAATGAAAGGGTAATATGGTCATTTTGTATAATCAAGTAACGTCGTTTGTGTAAAATTAACGGATTGGGGGAATCTTGACATTGTTAGGTAAAGTAGGGGAGGTTACTGTAATTATTCAAACCACAGGGAAGGTCCCTCTATTTGTCAGAAACTTCAGGGGAGGTAAATGTAATTTACCCTTTTAATTTTGATAAATTAAACTCTGAAGTTCTATTTGTATTTCAATGTGTTCCCTCTGTCTATCTCTGTCTATATAAGGTAACAGACAATAATTTTGAGGTTTAAAGAAAAATGTGTGAAATTTTGGTTTTTGGTATGTGTGTGTGTGTAATTAACCCTAATATTTATTATATATATATATATATGTATGCATAACTTATTATATGTGTATTTGTATATATAGTATACTTTTTTTAAATTAAATTTTGACTCTTTTAATGATAAAATTTTGATTTCGTCTGTAATTTTGATGACTATGTAAGAAGGGTTACCTGAAATGTAAGAGACACGTATTAGTGTTATAATAAATTAAAGCTATCTAAAATAGGTTACCTAAAATATAAGAGACGTAGTAGTGTTTTAATGGATTAATGTTATTTTTAGTCATCAAAATTAGGAATGAAATCAAAATTTACTCCCTCTGGCCAACATTGATAGTCTTTTTTTGAAAATTTAAATTTTTGAAGGAAACATAATCATTACACTTTAAATTAGAATTTTAAATAATTAATTCAAAAGTACCTTTCTATTTTTTTTTTATAAATATATTTATAATTAATTTTGAAAATTTTTAATTTTAAAATTTTGACTTTTCAAAGTGGACATATATTTTGGAACAATAAAAAAATGTAATAATGGGCCAATAAAATGGGACCGAGGGAGTATCAGTCAAAATTTAAATAAAAAAATTGCCCATATATACAAGCACACATGTACATATATAATAAGATATGTAAGTTATATATCCACACAAAAAATTAAATATTAGGGTTAATTAAAATTAAAAAAAAAAAAAACTCCAGAGTTTTATGCATTTTTCACTTTAAATCCCAAAACGATTCTCCTTTACTTTACACGGACGAAGATGGACCAAAGCACCAAGGATCCTCTAGAGTGAAATTTCTCTAAAGTTTCCTAGAGTACTATATTGTGTGGTTGAGATTTACTGGCAAGTCACATCAGAAAAATTGATGTGACTTGTCAGTAAATCTCAACCACACAATGTAGCACTCTAGGAAATTTTAGAAAAAAATCACTCTAGAGGATCCTTGCTCGGACCAAAGGGGCACATTGAAACATAGATAAAATTTTAGGGTTTAATTTATTGAAATTAAAATACTGAGATTTAAAATGAAAAACGTGAAATCTAAGGATTATTTTTGTAATTAACCTTCTTTTTCTTATGCTTTTTAATGTTCACAAACATAACATCAACACAGTGTGAAAATAAGGGTGGAAGTGAATTATAATGGTGGGTTTCACACGATAAATAGGAAATAGGAAGTAGTGACAAAGTAATTATAAATAATTTTTTTTTATAAAAAAAAGTAGTGGAAAAAACAAAAAGCAAGTCTCTTTTCTAGAAATAACAACCGTACTTTTATATGTGACCCATAACCTTTGCAATTTCTCAGTCATTTTTGTACGTTTAACTAACAAATTCTCAAGTTTGAAAAAAAAAAAATTATCTTTAATTAGCTTTAATATAGGGAGTAGGGATGCAATCCTTTCGCAGTGATGGGGTTAGAAAAATAAATTAAATGGGCACCTATTAATTACAATATCAAAAATTTTGACAAAAATATTTCACGTAAATTTTTACGATTGATTTTGAGAAATATCAGAAAAATAATGTTATTTGTAACTAGTGTATCATGGACAATATAAAAAAAATATAGATATAAATCTTAAAATAAATTATATAATAATAAATTTTTTTTAATACAAAATTTGATTAAAAATTCAGTATAATAGCAATACCACGTCATCATTGATATGTGATATCACCAACTAATAGTACATAAATACATAGCGAGTGAACTTCACATATCAAATGTAACTAACAATTCAATAAATTTCATATCTTTATAGTGAGATTACTTATATTTGCATGTCAATAATAATGACATCAACGTTACATTCAAAATTTTTAATAAATAATATGGTTTATAGTAGTTTCTTCATTTTCAATTAAAACAACCATTATTGTTCTTATAATTTTTAAAATGTCATTGACATTTCACTCTAATAATATTTTTGTAATTTTTTTATTTAAAAACTTTTCTTTATGTTTACAAAATTTAAAAAAAAAAAAAATCCCAAAATCTAGGGGGACATGTGACCCCCTCAGGCCTTACCTCCCTCCGCCACTGTCGGTTCGATAAGGTTGGTATTTAGGTAAAAAGATTTATCAAACCGATAATGTCGGTTTTATTATTTTTGAATACTGATATAGACCGCTTCTCTCATCAAACCGCACCGAACCGGATGAAACGGTTCGGTATGGTTTAATTGGTCTAAGACTTTTTAAATTTGAGCCACTTTTAAATATAATTACTAATCTATATGAAAACATTAAATTAGCCATTTATTCACAATTTCAAACATATCTAATCCATCAATTTACTAAATACTTTTCAATTCTTAAATTAACAAAATTAAAATAAAATAAAAATTAAAAAATACTAAAGTTTCAACAATAATGAGTTAGAGTTAAGATTATATATAATAAGAGTTTATAAACTTATAAAGATAATACGGATAATTAATTAAGGTTAATAATTTATTATATTTGTTAATATCATTGTATTATTAGATTATATATATATATATATTATAAATATAATATATGTTGAAACAGTCGGTCTTGGTTTAATTCGATGCATAAGATGCTTAAACCGATACCGAATAAAAAATTGAGAAAAATCAAATTTAAAAACTATACAGACATATTTTTATTAAAAAAAAAAGACCAAATATAGCTAATTTGGCCCAGTTTAATTGGTTTGGTTGACTTTTTTTGATTTTTCTTACCACCTTAATAGAGAGAGTAGTGACAAAGCAATTAAAAAAAAAAAAAAATTAAAAAAAAGCATCAAGCAAGTCTCTTCCTAGAAATTATAACAATGGTGTCTATTTTATATATGGCCCCTAACCTTTCTTCACAGTTTCTCAATCATTTCTCTACATTTCACTAGCAAATTCTCAAGTTCGAATTTTTTTTTTTTATATTTTTTGATAATTAACTTTAATAGAGGGAGAGTAGACATAATAATAGGCTAAATTTTTGTTAAGTTAATGTAAATTAAAAAAAAATGTCTGATTATATTTTTGTTTTCAATTATGTTGATAAAGAATATTCAATTAATGCTAATATAATTCACTTTTTTGTGTTGGTATAAATTAAAATTTAAAATTTTACAATACTTATTTTCAATGAGAAGTTATATGTATTTTTATCCCCTAAAGTTTAAATTCTGGATCTATTCTTGATTAAAGTCCTATTAAATAATTGGATCTTTTTAGCATTTTTGTTTGTTAAAAAAAAGAAAAAAAAAAGAAAATCGGAACTTGATATGAAAATTTGTTTAATAAACTGTTTTTGATAATTACTTTTGGGAACAATCCTTTTTTATAGTGAAATTAAAAGTTCCTTTCAAAAAAAAATTGTGTAAACATTCACACTTTCTTATTTTGAAAATACAAGATCATTTGATAAAAATTTGTGAATTTTGACACTTTTTTCCACAAAGATTAATACGAAACTCATCTACAAAAATTCCATAGGAACAAAACTATAAATTTTCTTAACTATGTGAGTCAATCTCAATCATCTCATTAACGATTTTACTTCAAAAACACTAATTGACATTATTAATTGAATCAAAATAATACAAAATTTAAAATTAAATCAATTTAAAATGTGAGAATCAAAATGATATATGAGACAAAATACAAAACTACCAATTTAATGTACCCAATAAACATTGCCACTTTCCTTATCTTGATTCCAGGGAAGATCCAAGGCCCCGTTTGTTTGGCGTTATAGGGAGGGGATTGGGTTTGATAGTGAGGAGGGGATTGAGAATGGAGTGTTTGTTTTGAGATATAGGGAGGTGATTAGTAATCCCTTGGTATTAGTAAGGAGGAGGAAAGGGGATTGGTAAGGAAGAGGTAGAGATGGTATTAGAAAAATAGTGAGGGGATTAGAAATTTTTTTATTTTTTTTATTTTTTATATATTGGGAATTTTTTTTAAACATAATGTTTAATTTTTTATATTTTTTTATTTGTTTTATTATTTTATATAAAAATAATTTAACAATTTCTCACTATCAATCCTCTCACTAACAATCCCCTCACTATTAATCCCCTCACTATGAATCCTCTCCATTCTATCTCTGAAAACAAACGGGGCTAGGGTACTAGTTGGTAAGCTATCAGCTTGCAACCTAAGACAAGAAAATAAAACAAACAACAAAATCAAATCGAGGCCAAAAAAAAAAATTATGGTGCAAAAGATTTTTTTTTAATTTTTTTTTTTTTTTTATGATTGTAAGGCAAATCTTCACAATAATAATAATAATAAAAAATAATTCTCAATCTGTATTGAAGGCCGTTGTTTGGACTCATAGAGTTCGCTATGAGTTTCATTCTAATAATCTAAACTGTTCGTTTTGTATTTTAAATTTTCCATTATTTAGTTATTTTAGAGTACTGCTTCACATTTCTTATATTAGAATACTTGTCTAATTATCTTTTACAGAAGAGAAAAAACATAAATTAAATTGTAAATTAAATTATTGATCTCCATAATTTAAGTAAAGTGTATAAACCAAATCCCAAAACTATATTGTTGGGTAAAGATGGGAAAACTTCTAAGCCACCCTCTACCAACTGAGAAAAATCATGATAGAGATATGGATTCATTTAAAAACATATTAACAAACGTAGTTGTAGTTGGGTTCTTCTACTAACAATATTATATTTGGGTTCTTTTATTTTTATTTTTATTTTTTTAATTTCTATGCTGTTTTCGCAGAGGGACAGGGGGGCCAATGAAAGGAGACGCCATTATTGACTTCTTCTCAGCACTCAATTTCTTCTTCTCACACAAATATAGCCATTTTTGAGACTGCTAAGGCTTTTTTCACTGAAAAAAAAGTCAACAACCTCTTTGCTTTGCCTTGCTTTGCTTCTGATCTGTTGGTTTTTCTCTTTTCCTTGTGTAATCGGAAACAATGCCAATGCTTATAGCAGAGATCTTTCTCTCTGCCTTCGTCAAATTGCTGTTTGAGAAGATGTCCTCTTTTGCCTCCTCCAAATTACCCACCTGTATTGCTGCCCAGCTTACCAATTGGACCAATATGCTGTCTCAAATTGAAGCTCTTCTGATTGACGCCGAGGACAAGCAACTGACTGATCGAGCTGCGAACCTGTGGCTCGACGATCTCCAGGATCTGGCATATGATTTGGATGATTTAGTGGATGAGTTCGCCACCGAAGCTTTGCGACAGAGTCTCAAGGCAAAGCCTCCCCAAGCTAGTTCTAGCAAGGTATGGAACGTCCTCCCTAATTTCAAGCCAAGAGATGTTATGTTTAATTTCAAAATGAAGTCCAAGATTGAGGAGATCAATACCAGATTGCACAATAGTTTTGAACAATGTTCAAAACTTAATTTGGTAAAGATTAGTGTTAGAACCACATCTCTTGAGACTCGGCCAACTCGAGAATCTACATCTTCACCTAAAGGTCCCATTTATGGCAGAGAGAAGGATCAAAGAAAGATAGTTGAGTTGCTCCTAGGTAGGGATGAATCAAGTCGTAACCACCCTGAAGTAATTTCCATAACGGGTATGGGTGGGGTGGGTAAGACCACCCTGGCTCAGATGGTATACGACGATAAAACTGTGAAGGAGCATTTTGATCTGAAAGTCTGGGTTTGGGTGTCAGATGAGTTTGATGTTATGAGAATAACAAAAGTAATTCTTGAGTCTGTGACTGAACAGCCATGCAATTTTACTACTTTGGAACAAGTTAAAGCTAAACTAAGGCCAAGTTTGGGAAGACTAAATAAGTGCACTTTTTGTCTTTTTGGACTAAAAAATTGAGATTGAAAATATGGATGTTTGGGTTAACTTTTTGACTTTTTATGGAAAAATGTGTAATAAAAAATTGTAAAAATTGGTTTGTAGAGGAAAATTTGAATTGGGAGTTGTGTAGCCGTAATTGTTGACTTTTGGTGAATAGTGTTAACTTTTTAACTTTTTGAGTAACTTTTTGGCTTTTTGGCTTATTTGGGACTTCCCAAACTTAGCCTAAATCAGGCTTTGGCTGGAAAGAAGTTCCTAATTGTTTTAGATGATGTCTGGGGCAAAAAATACGCTGATTGGGAAGATTTAAAAACCCCTTTCAGTAATGGAGCCTGTAAAATAAATTGATGTATATTATTGATTGATATATTACAAGATTGATACCATGTAAAATAAATTGATGTATATTATTGATTGATATATTACAAGATTGTTGTATATAGATTGTTGTATATTACAAGCTATTATATAGGAGAGGTGTGAGGTAGGTGAGTGGTGGTAGTGGATAGTAGTGGAGGTGGTGGGTGGTAGTGGAGATGGTAAGTGTGTTAGGTTTAGTGGAGTGGATGTAGTGGGTTAGGTTAGTGGGTTAGGTTTAGTGTACATTAACAGCCCCCCTCAAACTCAAGGAGGTTAGACACAAACCAACTTGAGTTTGGAGAGAGTTACAAAACAGAAAAAAATAAACTGATAAATAAAACAGGATAGGAGACACGTAATTTTAAATTTTTTGAGTCATAATTAAAAGATAATATATAAAAAATTTATAACCAAACATTAGATAACACAAAATCAAAGTTGTTATAAGTCATAACTAAAATATTATTATAACTAAAAAATAGAATTAGTTATAACTAAAAAAGAAAATGACATAATTACGGGTGCATATAGTACACTCCTTTTAAGGAGTATGTGTAGTACAATTTTCCAAGGCTATTTTGATCTATCACTTATCAATTATTAATCTAACAATTTGACACATAAGATAATAATAAAAATATGATAAATAACAGCCAATCATGTGTCTTGATTTTTTTTTTTGTTTTTTTTTTTTGCTTTTCCACCTCATTAGAGGTGGGTTTAGAGATGCCTTTTTAGAGGTCTCTAGCATTGTTGTTTAACCTTTTTTTTATATTTTTTTTTTTTTTTATTGAGTGCCATGCCATTAGTGATCTTTTTAGAGTTCAAAATTAGTGATCTCCATTATTGTTCCTTTTTTCTATGTTGTTTGGGAAACTAATAGTCTATTGACAGATGGACCTAATTGACACTTTATGGAGTAAGGGAGCAGTGATATTTGAGAGAATGTTAGAATATAATATACCTTTTAAAGGTTACAAAGGGACTCCCTCAATGTGAAACCGTCTTTAGGATTCTGTACTGCCCTTTTTTGTCATCATATTATTTTTTAAATCTAGCTTTGCGCAAAGCAAAGAATCTTTTGTCCCCACTTCTCAATCTCTATCCATCTATTCAGATCCTCCTCCTCCGCCTCCTCCTGCGCCTTGTAATACCCAACAAAAACACATCTCAATTCCACCAAGCTGTGTGTGTGTGTGGTGTGATTTTAAGCAGAGGAGAAGGATGGGTGCGGAGGAGGAGGAGGTGGAGGTGGAGAAAAAACATGCTCTGATATTCACGTACGGGACGTTGAAGAAGGGGTTCTCGAATCACGGACTTCTCCAGGAAATGATGGAAGCAGGGGAGGCTAAATACCTGGGAGTATACAGAACCGTGGAGAAGTTGCCGCTGGTGTGCGGTCCATACAGGGTTCCATTCTTGCTAAACTTCCCTGGATCTGGAGACCATGTGTTGGGGGAGCTCTATTCCATCTCTGCAGATCGGGCACTCATCCGCATGGACGACTTGTAGGGTACGAGCCGCGGCCACTACGAGAGGCTCCCTGTGAAGCTGGTTGGAGATGAAGATAGAGATGGAGATGGAGATGATGATGGGTGTTCGGCGGTGGTTGGAATCGGCGATTTGCTTGGCGATTTCGCGAGTTGTGTTGAGGGGGTTTGTTGTGGTGATTATGGCTCCGAGAGACATGACAGAGAGGCAGACAATGGGGAAAAAGATGGAGTTCGGGGAGAGGAGGAGGATGACGTGGACTTTGCGGATCCCCATGGAAAAGAGAGAGGAGGCGACGGAATCGACGGCCATCCAGACCTCAGCGAAGGTGAGGTGGCGGGCAGTGGAGGCGTCGATGAAGGCGATCTTGCCTGGGTGGGCTTGGGAGGAGATGAAGGTGGAGAGGGATGGAATAATGAAGCCATGGTTGAGTTCTCTCTCTTATTTTAGGATTTTAATTTGTTCATATTTGTAGACTCTCTCTCTCTCCTGCAATCCCTCATTCTCTCTGATTTCGCCATGGATGGGAGTAAGCAGAGGTTCGAAGCTCTCGGAGAAGCAGAGAGGTTGTAAGTAAACAATGTAAAAAGAGAATTGTATTATTGATTTATGTGTATATTACAAGATTGTTGTATATTGATTTGTATGTTACAAGCTATTATATAGGAGAGGTGTGAGGTAAGTGAGTGGTGGTAGTGGATGGTAGTGGAGGTGGTGGGTGGTAGTGGAGATGGTAAGTGTGTTAGGTTTAGTGGAGTGGATGTAGTGGGTTAGGTTAGTGGGTTAGGTTTAGTGTACATTAACAGAGCCCAAGGGAGTAAAATCGTGGTGACAACACGTTACGAAGACATTGCAAGAATGATGGGAAGTGTTGAACTTCAAAAGGTTGGGTGCCTATTATATAAGGATTGTTGGTTATTGTTTAAACAGCTTGCCTTTGAGAATCGAAGTATTGATGCAAATCCAAATTTGGTATCAATTGGCGAGAAAATTGTGGAGAAATGTAAAGGTTTGCCTCTGGCTATTAAGACACTCGGTGGCCTTTTAAAGTCCAAACTACGAGATGAGGAATGGAAAGATGTATTGCAGAATGAAATATGGGAATTATCAGAGGATGAAAATGACATCCTCCCTGCTTTGAGATTAAGCTACCATCATCTCCCTCCACATTTGAAGCAGTGCTTTGCATACTGCTCAATAATACCCAGGGGCTATGAATTTGAGGAAGAGGAGTTGGTCTTGTTCTGGATGGCGGAGGGTTTCATTCAGCAACAAAGAGAGAAGCAAATGGAAGACGTAGGAGGTGGGTACTTTCGAGAATTGTTGTCACGGTCTTTTTTCCAACCATCAAGTATTGGTAAAAGCTCTAAATTTGTGATGCATGACCTCATCAATGATTTGGCTCAAGTAGTTGCAAGAGAAACTTGTTTTAGATTGGAGGATAGATTGAAATATCCGGAGCAGTGCAAGAATATAGAGAAAGCTCGACATTCATCTTACATGCAGGAGTACCATGAGGGTATGAAAAAATTTGAGATCTTTGACAAAGCCAGGCATTTACGGACCTTCTTACCATTAAACTCACCATATGGTCATAATTGTTATTTGGCAAGCAATGTTCCCCTTAATCTATTGCCGAAGCTAAGACGCTTGAGGGTGCTCAATATGACTGGATATTCCATCACAGAAGTTCCAAATTCGGTTGGAGATTTGAAACATTTGCGGTACCTTAACCTTTCCAACACCTATATTAAAGAATTACCTAAATCATTAGGGTCTCTCTACAATCTACAAACATTGATGTTAAAAGAATGTCGAAATCTAAAAAAGTTGCCAACAGACTTGGGAAACCTGATTGACCTACGTCATCTTGATATTACAAATGCACATTCCTTAAAAGAAATGCCACTGGGAATATGTAAGTTGGCTAGTCTTCAAACACTGTCTAATTTCATTATTACTAAAAACAATGGGCATCAGCTAAGAGAGTTGGGGAACTTAAATTATCTTCGGGGGAAGTTTTGCCTATCTGGGTTACAGAATGTGGTGGTTCCATTAGATGCAAGAAAGGCGAATTTAAATGATAAGAAGGGATTAGATGTGTTATCAATGAAATGGAGTGTTTACTCAGATGATTCACGAGATGGAAGAGTTGAAACAGAAGTGCTTGACATGCTACAACCTCACAAGAATTTAAAAGAGCTCCATATCCAAGGCTACCTTGGTACAAGATTTCCGACTTGGATAGGAGATCCTCTGTTCTCCAATATGGCTGACCTAAGTTTAGATAATTGTAGAAATTGTGCATCCTTGCCACCACTTGGACAACTACCCTCCCTTAAAAAGCTTTACATTATAGGTATGAGTGCACTAAAGCATGTCGGTTGTGAGTTCTACGGGCATGGTGGTGTTCAACCTTTTCCGTTACTGGAGACTCTAAGCTTTGAGAATATGCGAGAATGGAAGGATTGGTATACTTTTGGAGATCACAAGGAAGTTCAACCGTTCACTCACGTTAGTGAGCTCTCCATCAAAAATTGTCCTAAACTTGTTGGAATGTTGCCAAGTGATCTACCTTGTTTGAATAAGCTACAGATCTCAAACTGCCTTAACCTCTGCGGAATGATGCCCAAGGATCTACCTTGTTTGAATAATCTAGAGATTTCAGAGTGCCCGCAATTCCTAGTTGAAGGTTCCAGCATTAGCCTCCCGTCACTCACCTCGATAGCTATGAATGACATTCCTCTAACAAGCCTTGAAGCGATCCTTGAGATGAGGAGTATGGTTGATGATGAAGTGATATCGGCAAATGCAAAGTCTAAGCATCCGAGTTCAATAGCTTCCTTGAGCATTGAGAGGATTAAGAAACTAGAGTTCTTGCCGAAATGGATTACTCATGGGCTGATGGAACTCCAGGAATTGCAGATTAGAAGGTGTGAAGAACTCAAGACACTGTGGAAGAATGAGGCAAGAGTGCAACACAGTCTCCCTGCATTCCGACGTTTGGGAATTGAAGGCTGCCCCCAGTTTGTTTCATTGTTTGAAGAAGAGGAGGATGAAGAAAATGAAGGGCAACATCAGCAACAAGAAGAAGAGGGCCTGTCTTGCATAGTGAGGCTTGAGCATCTAACAATATATAATTGTGAAAAGCTGGAGAAACTGCCACGGCTGCTACATACCTTCACTTTTCTTCGAGAGTTGTATGTCTGTAAGTGTCCATGTCTCGGCTCTTTTCCGGAGACAGGTTTTCCGTGCACGCTGAAAAGACTCGAGATACGTGATTGTGAGGCTCTGCAATCCTTGTTCGGGTGGATAAGGCAGATTAATGACAATAATCTTGAAGTGTTATGGGTTCAGAATTGTCCATCTCTTACGTGGTTGATATCGTGCAGAGGTGGGGGGCTACCACCCACACTCAAACGACTTTACATTTCGTGGTGTGAAAAGTTGGAGGCACTGCTAGCAGAGGAGGGGATGGAAATTAACTGTCCATCTCTTGAGTCTGTTGAGATCTGGGGTTGTGATAGGCTGAAATACTTGCCAGATGCCTTTCCTAATAATAATAATAATAATAATCTCAGGAATCTCAGTCGGTTGATGCTACATGGGTGTGAGAATTTGGAGTACATTCCGGAAGGATGGTTACACTCCGCAACAAATCTGAGAGAATTGAATATCAGGGGATGCAAAAAACTGAAGGCCCTACCACACGGATTGCAGAGCATCAACTACCTCACTTCTCTGCAAGAGCTGTGGATGGATATTTCACAATGGAACAACAACTTCAAGAAGATTGGTTTGCACAGTTTATCCTCTCTTAAAAGACTGTTGATTGAAGGCAAAGAAGAAGAACATCCTGTGGGTTCCAGCTTTCCGATAGATGGGATGTTATGTTGCTGCCCACCTCTCTGATCTATCTTCGCATTGAGAATTTCCGAAATCTGGAGAAGCTATCTTCTAAGTTGTTTCAAAACCTCGCCTCTCTTGAATCTCTTTATATCAGGGATTGCCCTAGGCTCAAATCTTTACCAGTGCAAAGGCTGCTTCCCTCACTTAAGCAATTGTCGATCTCGAGATGTCCAAGACTAAAAGGGAAGTGTGAAAAGGGCAAAGGCAAATATTGGCCCCACTTAGCTCACATTCCTGATGTCTTCGTTTATGATGATGATGGGCACCGAAATGCAACTCAAATTACCAGGTATCAAAACAGAAACTAATTTGATAAATATAAACATTTAAAAATTATTTTCAGATTTTAAAAACAAATCATATGAAAAACCATAACTGTTTTTTATTTTTATTTTTTTCTTTGCAGACTTTAAAAAACTTAATCAAACAATCTAATTGATAGCAAAGATTTTGAGCATTGCTAATTTTTAAAGTCTTTTTGCTTATCGATT